AGAATAGAACTCTTAAGCTTCGAAGATATCCAGAATTCCATCCCAGCCAGTAAGCAATAGACAAAACAAAAAGCCAGAAGACATGGCCACATTATGCTCGAACCTTCTGGTTTGGTTTTATCAGCCAGGTGCTTCACTGAAAATGCAATTGTTATCAGCGCGTCCACGATAAATGCTATCCCAAAGGCAATGGATCCATGCTTTTCTTTCTGAGGAGCGATTTTCGCGCTCGTTTTGTCGTAAAATCTCCACAGCAAGACGAAACACGTGAGCATGGTGAGTGTTGTGTCTAGAGCTGTGGCGAGGACAGATGAACTGTTCATGGTGGCTGATAGAAAGAAGGATGCCCCGGCGAAAATCACAGACACTAGTAATCTCGTCATAGTCACCGCTAGCGCCATCTTTCTCCATTTCTCTCTTTCACGAACCTGTAATATTGTTTGTGGCTTAGCTTCTTCCCTGTGTTCGTCGTCAAAGGAAATGCAAGGTGATTTTTCAAAAACGCTGTCACTTTTTCCGGGATTGAACTCTGCTTTAAGGCGCATTCCCAGCTGTGGGGATGATAAGGGGGAAAGCTCCCGAGAACTGGAATTAATCACTTGTGTCGGTGACTTCTTCTGTGCCATGCCTCTGCTGAAGATCTCTTGTGGAGAGTTGTTCACTGATATCTACACACAGTAAGCAATGTGACTTGCTTGGATAACCAGCAATAGTGAACTGAACGTAAAATCAACTGTACATTTGTTAAATTTGGGATAATCTTTTGTTTTTGGGTTCATACAATATGTCTGAGTAACTTAAATGGAAGAATTGATTTGTAAGTTGAAAATGATTGGAATGCTATTGTGGTTTTGATATGTAGGGTGAAAAAAAAAGTCTAATTAATATTTAACAAAGAAACTTGTCAGGGTTATGAGTCGTTAACCTTTACTAACCATGACAAAAAAATATCTATTCAGAAACGTAGACGTGTTTGATATGAACTATTGAATGCGGTTCATTTGAGCTGCTAACGACTGCAAAGTTCAGGAATGTGCGTTAATATAATAACAATCCTAGGGCTCGTTTCTCGAAAGTCCCGGTAACTAAACGAGCCCGTAAAGCTGTTCTGTTTTCATTCAAGATGGGGATTTAAAAAGTTTTGAAAATGATACAACAAAAGTATTAGCTAAAGAAACAAAAAGGACTGGTTTGGGTACCCGAACCGGCTTTCTTATCCTTTAAATTTTGATTTTAAAACATGGCTTCGGGTACGTTAAGTTACCGGATCTTTCGAGAAACGGGTCCCTGGGGAATACTCAAGGTGAACTGAGGCATTGAAGTCAGCACCACGCTTCATTGACCTTTTTACAAGGAAGACTCCAGAAGTAACTTGCTTTATTATGTGTTTTCCCATGTTGTTTTAAAGTACAGAGTTGTTAATTATCACAGAAGTTTATATACATATAATTTTAAGCTCTCTGTTAGTGCAGTTCTGTAGTAGTGGAAGACTGCTGTCGGATTGCTGCAATCTTGAAGTGTTGCTCGGGGCTGAGATAGGGCATTCAGGGGACTTGCGGTTTCAATTAGAGAACAGAATCAATAACCTCTT